TGTGCATGCAGATTAAAGGACTGATACCTTTGATATCCGCAATTGTCCATCCAATGGCCTTCTTGTACTTTCTCAAAATGCGTAGCAACTTTTCTTCCTCTACAGCACTCAAAGAAGCATTAGTAATGACTGGAAAAAATTTACCCGCTTCTAAAAATGCATACCTTAAATGAGATGGTAGTTGCTTGAGCTCAAGTATAGGTGCCTTTGTGATTGGTGAAGTTGACTGAGACTCCAAGGCTCTAATTTCTCTGATCGATTTAGCTTCAGGACGACCCAAGGGTGGTAAAGCATTTAAGTATCTTAGACACTCTCTTATCTTCTCACTATCAACTTCATCCTCCTGGTCTCTAGAATTCATCAAACAATTCTCTAAGGCAAAATTGTGTAATTCTCTTCAAAATTCTGCTCCACTAAGGTGTCAAGAACATCAATCTTAAAACATGAATCTAAGTCAAATGGATGCTTCATAGACTTGAAAACATCAAATTCTACTTGCTCATCTTCTACCCTTAAGATCAACTTCCCTTGGTGGACATCTATCAATGTTCTACCCGTGGCCAAAAAAGGTCGTCCTAAAATTAAAGGTATTTCCCTATCTTCCTTCATGTCTAGCACTATGAAATCTACTGGGAAAATCAATTTGTCTACCTTAATCAGGACGTCTTCGACTACCCCTCTAGGATATGTGATCGATCAATCAGCTAATTGGAGAGACACGGTGGTTGGCTTCACTTCTCCCAATCCATGCTTCTTGTAAATGGAAAACGACATTAAGTTAATACTAGCCCCTAAATCGCATAACACTTTATCAAAATAATAACTACCAATAATACAAGGGATAGTAAAACTCCCTGGATCTCGTAGTTTAGCTAGTAGTTTCTTTTGAATCAGAGCACTGCAGTCCTCCATCAGCATGACTTTCTCGTGTTCCTCGAATTTCCTCTTGTGCGTGAGGATCTCCTTCAAAAATTCCGTGTCCTTCAGCATCTGTTCTAGCATATCAATAAAAGGGATATTAATATGTAAGCTTCTAAACATGTCAATAAACTTACTGAATTGCTTGTCGAGCTTCTGATTCTTCAACTGTTGTGGGTATGACAGAGTTGCCTAGCTCGACGGGGGCTTCTGCGCGGAGGCACACTCGCCACAACCACTAGGTTCATCGCCGCAGCGATCGTCTGATAAGCCTGACGAATTTAGAATAACATCACAATCGCCGCTGCGACCAGTTTCCTCGCCACAGTGATCGTCCTTCCTTCTGACGATTTTATCTGCATAATTACACTCGTCGCGGCCACCATCTTCATCGTCGTGGTGATTGTCCTTCTACTCATCCTTTAGGTTTTGTTATATCCTCTGTTTTTCACTTCCGAATTTTCCAAACTTCTTCCACTCCTCAGGGTGATCGCATGTGCCTGTTCCTTGGGATTTTTCTCTGTATCACTCAGTAAAACCCCTTGACCTCTTCCCTCTAATATGTTGTGAATTTTTCCAATTTGAGTCTCAAGGTTCCTTATAGATGCAGATTGATTTTGGAACAGGACATCGGTCTTCTCAAACCTCTTGCTTGTCTCCTCAATGAACTTAGTTAATGCATTTTCCAAGTTTTATTTTTGCTATTGAGGTTGAAAAATAGGTGCTTGTTTTTGCTCATTGCTATTGCTTCATGAAAAATTTGGGTGTTTCTCCATGCTGGATTATACGTATTGGAATACGGATTCCCTTGCTCTCTTTGGAAATTGTTGATGTAGTTGGCTTGTTCAGGCTGACCAAACTGGTTTCCCTCTTGGCAATCGTTCGATGCATGATTTCCTACACAAAGGTCACATGTTAAAGAAGAAGATTCAATTGCATTTATTTTCAACACATTACCTAATTGCTTCTGGATGTTCGTAAGTTGAGCAGCCAATGCAGTGTAACTGTCAACTTCGTGCACTCCCGCTGATCTCCTTGTTGAATTTCTTTCTATAGTCCTCACATATTTTTTGTTCGCCATCACCTCGATCAGATCTGGCGTTTTATTATTCAAGGCTCCCCCACTTGCAGCATCAATCATGGCTTGAATGGTTGGTAGCAACCCTTGGTAGAACGCTTGCACTTGTGACCAAATTGGTATACCATGGTGTGGGCACCTCCGTAAGAGATCCTTAAACCTTTCACATGCTTCATACAATGACTCTGAATCTTGTTGGTAAAAGTTGGTAATCTCACTCCTCGGTTTGGCCAACTTGGCAGGTGGAAAGTACTTAGTGAGGAACGCTTGAGCCAGCTCATTCCACGTCGTGATGCTTCCAGATGGCAATGAAATCAACCAGGCCTTAGCTTTATCCCTTAGAGAGAATGGGAAAAGCCTTAGTCTGATTGCATCCTCGGATACCCCATTATGCTTGAATGTGTCGCATAACTCCAGAAAATTTGCGATATGCAGGTTGGGATCATCATTTGGTAACCCAGCGAATTGGATCGACTGCTGAATCATTCCGATAATTGCTGGCTTAATCTCAAAATTGTTCGCTTGAACGGGTGGTCTCCTGATTCTTGAATAACACCTATCAATAGTAGGACTAGAGTAGTCCTTCAATGCTCTCCGAACCACTGCTGCACCACCCATTGCATTTCCTCCTAAATTATCCTCATTCTCATTCTCTTGATTTTGCATATTAGGATTGACAATTCCTGTGTTCGCCATTGATCTTTCAGAATTAGCTTGCCTCTTTTCTTTCCTCAACTAGTTCGCGGTTTTCTCGATCTCAAAATCTAGTGGATTAAGACGACCATGACCTCTGGAACGTAAACTCTCCAGATTCTAGTTGAAAACCACAACAAACAAAAATCAAAATTAATTAGTAAATAGAAATAAAACAAATCAAATTAGCAACTAAATATTTCGTATTGATATTGGTAAAACAAAATAGTTCCCTGGCAACGGCGCCAAAAACTTGACAGGCTATTCGCAAGTGTACGAAATCGTGCAAGTAATAAAGCTCGAGTAAATGAGTGTCGAATCCCAAGGGAACTACCTACCAAGTACCAAACTATTATATCCTATTCCTATTTGATAAAACCGAATTTTAAGAGAAGCTTTAATGATAACGTAACAAACTAAAAACTAAATAAATGCAGAGTTTGTAAAAGCTTTGATGTAAAGATCAATATGACTAAACCTAGGGCATAGATTTCGTACCAATTTACTCCTATGCATTGACATTTGTTGTTAACCTAATTAAGCGTATTCTAAAGGCCAAATCCCCTAATATTCCACTAACTCTCTCTCAAGCAATTAGCAAATTAACCATTAAGCAACAACCCAAGATATCTCTAAGTTGGATTTAGGTGTTAAAAGATCGTTAAGTTCTATGGAATTTACCGGAGCCTCACAGATCGCAGCAACCTATCTCTAGCGTTTGCTCAATCTATGGTTTTATTACCTAAGACAAATCAGGTTTCATCTCTCGATCTCAACCCAACCCATGATATCATTCAACTCTCAGCCCTTGAGACTTGAAAGCATTACACACGATAATAAAAACTTAGAAATCATGCTCAATATAAAATCAATATAATAATGTCAACACATGTTCATAAATTGGGCTACATCTGTAGCCCTAGAAAAGAGAATTAGTTCATAATGAAAATAACAATCCATCATTCTATTCAATGATATCAGTTCAAGAAAGACAAAGATAAAAACTTCTCTAATCGGTGAACAAGAGCTCCCAGGATCCCGATCTCAAGAAAGACAAAGATAAAAACTTCTCTAATCGGTGAACAAGAGCTCCCAGGATCCCGATCTCCAACTTGGTAGCCGTCTTCTTCCTCTTCCCAAAAAGTCTCCTCTTAATTTCTTAAAGACTCTCTTTTATATCTCCTGGGTTCTGGTCATGCTTAGGAAAAAGATTAGAAAACTTAGCCCATTCAGATTCGGATTAGGGTAATGAATTAACACACACCCATGACCCATCGCCGCAGCAGTAAGAATGATGCCCACAATGATCGATCTTTTTGTCTAAGGCATCCGTAATCTTTAGAATTTGATAAAGTCATCAACACAAACATTGTAGCTCTCTGAATAAGCTTTTCAACGCCACCAGAATCGTCAAATTCTGACTTCTACAGCTCAAGTTATGATAGAAACATCAAGGCATACTCATGATGAAGGATTTCCAGATTTTCCGTAACATCTTCGACGTGCCACAATTTCCTCATTTCGACCCTGATTCTTGTGCCGTTTATTCCTACGCGTTGTGAATCCTATCGACATCATTCTTTTCCCTTCAAAAACCTATTTGAGCCTGAAAACACTCAAAATGCACCCGTGATCCCATAAATGATATTTATGAAAGAATTAATCCAAATTCCACACTTTAAACACATTTTTCCATAAATAAACCAATTAAATCACTAATAAAATATAAACATTCAAGCTCTTATCACTTATTGTGATTCAGATTGGGGTACTTGTCCTATGATGAGAAAGTCTCTCATGGGGTTTTGTGTTAAACTTGAAGGATCTCTCTTATCTTGGAAAACAAAGAAGCAATCGACAGTTTCTCTTTCATCGGCAAAAGCTGAATATAGAGTTATGGCTAATACCACATGCGAAATCACTTGCATTCTCGGGCTCCTAAAGAACTTAGAAGTTCAAGTTGAAAAACCAGTCATTTTATACTGTGACAACAAGGCGACAAATGATATCGTAGCAAATCCAATGTTTCATGAGAGAACTAAGCACATAGAAATCTACTGCACTTCGTAAGAGAAAAAATCCAGGAAGGCATGATCAAGACTATGCACATTTGGACTTCAAAACAGTCAACTGACATTTTTACTAAGTCGCTATGTAACAGACAACATTCACATTTACTTTGCAAGCTTAAAGTTTATGACATATACAAACCATAAGCTTAAAAGGGAAGTGATGACGATAATCATGAAGTGATTGAGATATGATGGAGATAATCATGGAGTGATTGGAGTGATTGATATTTTCTCTTGAATGAATATTCCATTAGCATAATTAGTGTGATTAGGCCTTTATGGCATGATTGTATTTCCTTTCTTTATTGTTACAAATGTGTATACATTGAACATTGTACAGACACACAAAATACAATTGAATACAGGAAACATTTCTGCATCTCTTTCTCTTTCTCTTGGCATTCTCTGGCAGTTTATTTCTGCTTCTCTTGCCTTCTTCAAACTCTGACACAAGCTTCTCCTCTGCCTATATATTAAGGAGTGTTACCCATTTAATCTTGAATCAGATAAATAACGGGGTTCGCTTGATATAGTTTCTGTCAGTCCAAAATTACAAGGAGCTTGCTGTTAGCGCCCTTGAAACATACTAATTGTCACCTCATTTACAGAACCAACTCCTTCACTAGTCGATGAGCCAGCCACGAAGGAGATTTTGTTCCCAATAAAAGCCGGTTGTTTTGGAGAAGGAAGGCCATTGACATTACCTAACATGAAAATAACTGCGGACATAGTTGGCCGATCTATCGCCTGTTCTTGCACGCACAGGAGCCCAATTTGAATGCATCTCAATACTTCATCAGCAGGATATGATTCACCCAATGCTTTGTCAACTATCTCTATGCTTTTACCTTCATTCCATAGGTTCCAAACCTAACAAAATACAAACTTGTCAACATTTTTGGTTGAAAAACTAAAGGTAAATTAGTTTTATAGTTTCCCTTACATGTCCAACCAAATATGAAGAGGCAGAATCTTCAACAAGAAATTTACTGTTCTTTCTACCGGTGATGATCTCCAACATTAAGATCCCAAAACTATAAACATCAGACTTCACTGAAATTAACCCTTGCATTGCATACTCTGGTGACATGTAACCACTGCAACATCATAATAAGAAAGAAACTACTTACCTTAACAAATGGTGAACGAAGATAGAAATCTTCACTGCACTAATTCGATCCATATGCTGGAAAATAGCTGAGGAAATTTTTTTGAGGGTGGGGACTTACTATGTTCCAACAACTCGATTGGTGTTTGCTTCAATTTGATCCCCTCCAAATATCCTAGCCATACCAAAATCTGAAATTTTTGGGTTCATTGTAGCATCCAGTAGAACATTGCTGGCCTTTAGATCTCTATGGATGATTCTGAATCTTGAGTCTTGATGTAGATAAAGGATTCCGCGAGCAATTCCCCAAATAATATCCAAGCGTTTTCCCCAATCCAACAACGAGCTTTGTGTTTCATCTGAATCCAAAATTGAATATTTATGTTAATATCTTTCAAAGAAAGACAAATAACATTCTGAAGTGACGATTCAAGGAATAAATGTGGAAAAAAGACATACTGAAAATAATACAATCCAAGCTTCTTTTTGGCAAATATTCATAGATTAACATTTTTTCTTCCGCTTCAATGCTACAACCTAGAATCCTCACAAGATTTCTGTGTTGTAGTTTCGCAATAAGTGAGATTTCATTCTTGAACTCTTCTATTCCCTGTCCAGAGTATTTTGAGAGTCTTTTAACTGCTATCTCCTTTCCATTATGAAGACGACCCTGAANTCTTTTTCTCTCTTCACCTTGCTCCTCTTTCATTACCGGAATTCGGCCTATTCAAGCTTCATCAAACCCATTCTCTTATTTCTTGAAAATGCTCAATTATTTTCATAACGATAAGCACACAAATGAAGCGACTTCGTTTGCTTTGCAAGGGATGGGTACTCATTTGCCACTCCACTTCACTCCTTACCCAAACTTGAGCTTCCACCGAGCTCGAGCTCAAGTACCCCTTTACAGTGTTGAGCTCGAGTTCGATTTTTCAAGCTTGCCAAGCTCGAGCTCAACACTGTAGCAACCGAGCCGAGCTTGATTAGCCTAGAGCTTGGCTCGACTCGATTACACCCCTACTCTCAGCATGGCTATCTCAAGCTCGTACACTAATTTAACTTTGTTTATTATGATTTCAATAATTAATTACAATTTTTTAAATGATTAATTTTTTGATTAAAACAATTATAGAAAATAACTACAATATATATAATTAAATTGAAGTCTTGAATGGCCTAAGGGGGTGTAAATTAGATTTTTTAATCTCCTAAGGTCATTCTTAAACTATATGAGCAAATTCAAACAATTTGTGACTTAGGATCTCTTCTCTAGTACACTTTGTGAATGTGAACAATTATAACCAATCAAATATATACAAATACAAAGTAAATTGCATAAAGTAAAGAGATAAAGGAAGAGAAAAACAAACACAAGCGATATATAGTGGTTTGGCTCCAACCGACCTATGTCCACTCCTCCAAGTTTTCCCCCTTGGAATATTCCAATATCTCCCTTGGTTGAACACCCAACCAAGAAAATCCAATACAAACAGCTTTTCTCCAAGTGCTATGAAACCTTTACACACAATTGCTTCACAATATGCAATTGAAACCTCTCACACAGACATTAGGACTTACTTTCTCTTACTAGAATTGCCTAGAAACCTAAGATTGAACCTTACTCTTTTACAACTTGAAATTTTTGATAAAACAATGAAAAACTCTCTCAAAGAGTAGATGAACAAATGTATAACCCATACAAACAAAATGTGTAGCGAATGTATGTATTAAAAAATAAGATTTGTAAGAGAAAGCTCTATAAAATGAAACACTTTTGGTTTTTTGTATATGCAAGTTTTAGAATGTCAAAAGTTGTTTAGGAATGGGTTTGGTTGAGTTTATATAGGAGAGTCCGAAAATATAGCTGTTGTGCCTAAAAATTGCACTTGAAAATTGCAAAATTCGATCGACCGCCTTGAATCCGATCGACCAAATTTAAGGTGATGCCTATGTGATGTCAACATGGCACTAACCGTTAGAACGGCTAAGCTCCATTTGGTAGACCAAATTGGAATCCAATCGACCAGACCAACTAGGTAGAATGGGGTTTGCTCCCATTCAAATCTGAAAGACAATCCGATCAACATCCAGTCAGCCAAACGGAGGTTAAAGTGCAAGTTTTCAAACCCTAGTAATATCACTTTACCCCAATAACTTTACAATATAACATTTTGGCCCCTCAATAAAACCCATAACCAAATGCATGATCTGGTTAACCATTTGGGTGAACTGTAAAATATGAAAACTTTAGAAACTACTCCCTCCGTTTCATTTTAATTGTCCTTCTTAGAAGAAAAGAAATTGTTTCAAATTATTTGTCACTTTGTAAAATCAAGGAGACATTAATTACATTTTTACCAATTTTACCCTTATTCTATATTCAATAGTTGTGCACATGATCTAATAGTCAACGAATGTATTATTTCTAGGTTCAATGACTTCAAGGTGGTGTTTAATATTCTTTTCCTTTCCAAAATTTATTAATGACAATAGTCCACGTATACACTATAAATTCAGTTTCCTGAAAAAACTTATGTATATTTCCAATAATAAAAAAATAGACAAAGGTGAAGAGTCCATATATTTGGATTCTAAACCTTTATTTGATTATATAATGATGTTTATAGAAAAGAAAAAAGTTGCATAAGGTTTCAACTTGAATGTACCTACAGATCGTGAGTTAGATATACAAGTTTTTTGATGAAGGAGAAGAAGCTTCTAAGGAAAATGAATTTAATCAATTGGTTAGACTCATGTTAAAAGTTTATCTTCCTTATTTTTATTAAGAGTATCATCTCTGTTCATATGATTAGAGTACAAGAATGGTTATCATTTTTTTTCATTTTTTTTTTTTAATATTTGAAGCCTTTTCAGTTTGGTTTATAGAAAATTCTACAATTCGTACCCAAAAGTTGTTTGTAAAAGATGTTAGACTTTTTGCAATATGGTCCTACAATTTCATATAATTACATTTTGGTCCTTGTTGATGTGGACTGATGTGGTCATACGGTTGTGTCTCTTGAGCAGTTGTCTTTGATGGAAAGACAACTGCATATAAGAAGGAGACTTTACAGGTCCCCATGTGACGCAGTTTTTATTTTAGTTTCAAAACCATCACTCTAAAAATTGTAGTCAGTGGAAGATCCTGTAATTTTTTAAGGAGCAAGAAGATCAGACAACAATTGCTATGGCTGGAGGTTTGTCATTTACTTCCGCATATGTTCCATGGAGATTTTATATTGAAATTGATTGTATTATCACTTTTATATGAATATTGGAATATGAATGTATTTTACATTTGGTATCAGAGCTTTATTTGAATCTCTTCCTAGCATGAAGTTGTTTGTTGCAATTCTCCAAAATATTGCATAAAATTTGGGATTTTTTCCATTAAAACCAGTACTGTAAATCAAGAATAACTTTTATTATAAATAGAATCTGCTTTCAATTTTGGTTTCATTGGAATCCTTGTTGAAAAAGCTTTCCAACGGTATATTATTTGTTAAAAACGGAGTTCTGGATGCAAAGTTATGCTAGTTTAAAGTTTTGGTTAGAAATTATTGTTTGGGTGTTTTTGAAAGCCATTTATGGCACCGATTTAGGACGAAATTGTCATTTGGGATGTCACCGATATAGGTTATATGTCCACATTCAAGTTTCCCATCGAAAACACCGAAAAAATGGCCGGAAACGGGCTGTTGAAAATCTAAAAAAACTGGGTAAAAGTTGCAGAAAAACGGGTCAAGAAGAACCGACCCAATAGGATAAACGGGTCAAACTGACCCGGTCAAAGTCAAAAGCCAAAACGGGTCATACGACCTGGTCAACCCAGCCCAAAACCCGTTAGGTCAACTCGACCCGGTCAATAGTCCAGACTGGTCAATGAACCAGTCAACGGGTCAAACCAGTCAATGAATCGATCAACGGTCCAGACCGGTCAATGAACCAGTCCAACGGGACAAACCGGGTCAACCAACCCGGTCAAACGGGTCAAACTGACCCGCATTCAAACCCAGCGCGTGCTGGCGCGTGAGGAAACTATGCTTACATCAGGCGCGTGACGGCACATGGTGGCACGTGAGAGAGCTTGTGCTTACGTCAGGCGCGTGGGAATGTGTCCTAGGCACGTGCTAGCGCGTGACAGTGCGTGGTGGTGCCATGTGGGCACATGAAGGCGCGTGAGAGTGTGTGCTGCCTTCTGACGGCGCGTGGGGGCATGTCCTTTAGTCACGGTGGCGTGTGGAAGTCGGTGACAGCTTGTATGATAGTTTTTTATGTTATATATTACTTTGTTATGCATAAATAATGTGTTATTCTTGTATTGATTTGTGCTATATTATATAATTCATGTTATAAATTATTTGATGTTTTATGATTGTATGTATTTGATTAATTTAGAGTAGCCGCAGCATCTAAATTATGATAATATATGCATTAAGTAATATTATTTATGATCATATTAAGGTTAATAACATCGTTTTGTAATTAATCATATTAATATAATCATTTTACCCACAGGGAATGTTATATTTTCATGATTAATTAAGGATGAAACAGAAATTATTCTTATTTCTTAATTTAGCCCACAGGTATTATGAAATATTAATAATTTCTAGTTTCATCATTAAAGGATAATGAATCATACTATGTAATCTCTTTACCCACAGGGAGATTTTATGATATGTCGATTCATTTATGATTTATTATTTGTTTTACAATGGTAAACTTATAATTGTTATTGATGGTTTGTGCCTCATAATTTATTTAGTGAGCATGTCTATTGATATACCTACAGTTGATCAAACTTTGATGATGGTTGAGGATAAGGTTCCTAGTTTAAATGGTGATAACTACAAATCNTATTCTTTGCTAAGAATAATAAGAGTGGAAGTCGAAGTAAACACATCGACATTAAGTACTTAGCAATAAGGGAGCACGTTAAAGCCAAAGAAGTGCTCATTGAACACATACATACTGAGCAGATGATTGCTGATCCTCTAACGAAAGGCATGCCACCAAAGACGTTCAAGGATCATGTTGTTCAAATGGGACTATGTCCCGCTTTGTCACTATGAGAGGTAATACTTTCATTGTCTGAAACTTTGTAATTTAGTTTGTTTTCTCTTTTAAGTTGTATACATTTTGGTTGGAGACAAACAAACATTCTAGAGGACCTAGAACAAACATTTGAGGTTTGTTCATAATATGATATTCCACATTTAAGCGTTTATTTAGACAGAGAAAAATTGCATTGTAATACATGGAAGGTAATACTTGTTTACAAAGGGACTTACCGCTATGATTCATGTAATTTTCCCTTTCTAATTGAACATACCGCATATACATCT